TCAACTAATGTCACGTCCATTGTGACATCAGGTAATGTCACTTCCACTGTGACATCAGGTAATGTCACTTCCATTGTGACATCAGGTAATGTCATTTCCATTGTGACATCAGGTGATGTCACATCCATTGTGACATCAGGTAATGTCACTTCCATTGTGACATCAGGTAATGTAACTTACATTGTGACATCAGGTGATGTCACTTCCATTGTGACATCAGGTAATGGTGTCACTCCCATTGTGACATGTCACTTCCATTGTGACATTGGCTCGGTACTATAAATATCGCAACCCTTCGGTCTTGATTCCATGATAGATACTGTAAATTTGGGAGAAATGTGGCTTTTCTGCCTACCCCTGGGCGTAAACCCAGACCAAAAGGAGCTCGTCACCCCGTCGCCGCAAAGTCAGGTTTAACCAACTACGCTAGCGTGCCGAGCATCTATATATTTAAGGGCAACCATAAAGACAGAACCTTCTCTTTCTGAATACAGAGTTCCGGGCGCTGGTGACGAATTGCGGAAGCTTCGAGAAATCTTAGCGATCTGCCACATGAAAAAGGCAGTCATATTTGATGGTTGTTGAAATTGTACTTCAGTTATAAAGGATTCACTGATTTGCTTCATTTATGTAATTGTTACTGTAGTATGCACCTGACGAGTTACAGCGAAATATGCCGGGAAATAAATTATGCAATCTTTTGTTTGTGTCTTCTTTGTTCAAATTTACAATGGGGAAACATTACTTTGATACCTAATGTACTGTGACATCCACTGAGATAACATAAAATGATAATGGCGAAGAAGAAGGAAGCAACAACTCTTTGGTGATACCATAATGACCAGCTTCATGCAGATTTCTGAGGTCAAAGGTCTAGAGTTGCTTATCACCATAAATAACAGAACTTGTGTCATGAACGAGGCAAAGAAGAAAAATAAATCGGATCGTCACAAAACAAAACCAAGATGCCAATGTGATCATCCCTGGAGCTATGTAGTTCTTGCCTTTTGCAACACTCTTATATAAAAAGCTCACATATTCGAATGCAACGTTGTGTGAAGTTTTCAAAGTAACCGGTAAAGACCTTTAGCTTCATGCAGAAGTCTGAGGTCAACAGTCACCAGTGGAACTAAAAACAATTTTGGGCCGGCAACGAAACAAAAACCAATGTGATTGTTGCTGTAGCTATGTAGTTTCAGGTTTGTGCAACACTCTTACATAAAAACACACATAAAAACACACACGCAGTTAAATTCAACGTTGTGCGAAAATTTGAAAGCAGATAGTGAAGTATTGGCGGAGATTAGCTATTACAACCAACGGAAATTAAAATTTTTATTAATATAAAAAGATATAAAGGCGCTGGAGACACCTTAAGCTGGAATCAAACAGGCAGTAACACCAGCAGATATGCTAACGTGAGGGGGAAAAACTGCCCAACAAGAGCTTCAATTTAAAAAAAAAACAAATTCATTTAATTCTAGCAGCATTTACAACTACAAATAAATCTGATAATCTCCACCATCCTCTCAATTTACAACCTCACATTCATCAACATGAATTTATTGCAAGCAGCAGCAGTAAACATGACATTTCTAGTCAGTTGTTGGCACCTGTCCGTCTTTCCAGATGGGTGGTTTTTAGGGTGACCATTACATCTTGAGATAAAAAAGGCCATTACATTGATATCTTCAGCTAAGAAGAGGGCATCCCAAACAAGTCAGTTTAATCACCCCCCCCCCCCCCCCCCCCCCCCCCCCCCCCCCCCAGTCTTTTTTTTTCTTTCTAGGTCAACAAAATGTCCGCACAATGGTATCAAAATCGGAACCACTGTCACTTAGCAAAAAATATGGTATTTACTCATTCTTATGACTTTTTTTTTTAATTTCAATATTGATCTTTATGTGATGTTTAAGGTCCTGCAGCTGTTTACTTTCTAATTAATAAAATCACTGATTGTCAGCAAAGAGCAGCTCATTGAAGTGCCCCTGTTTATCAACATCTGGTGGTGCTATGTCTATTTTATTAATACTGTCCATGAATATTATAAAAAGTCAAGGTGAAAGAACACACCCTTGCCTTACTCCTGATGTTACTGGGAACCAGTCTGTGAAGTCAGCTCTTGTTCTGATGGTGTTTTCACTTTGTCTTACACTCTTACACAATCTAGCATTTCTAGAGCAATTTTTGTGTGAATACATTTAACAAATCTGTAATTCAGTAACTGTTCAGTGCAAGTTGCTGAGATTTGGCCTGCAATCTGTTAACATGTCCTTATGAGATTTTTGCGGCGTCCGTGGCTAAGGCGTTGCGAGTCCGACTCGTAATCCAACGTACCGCGATCGAAACCCACTGCAGGCTGCGTGGATTTTTATCGTGGTATGGGACGTCGCAGGTCGACCCAGCCTCAAATGGGTACCAGGATGGGCTGTCCTGGGAAAGTAAAGACAGCCGGCGTAATGCTGACCACATTACCCACCGAGTGCTGATGGTCTGTAAAAATATGGGCGCTCTTCCCATATGCCCGATACGCCTAAAGGCGTGAAAGGGATCTTTACTTTACTTTACTTACTTTATTTTTCTTTAAAAAATGTAAACACATTTTCATTTTGCCTTATGTGCGGTATATGAAAGTACAGACAAAGCAAACAATCAGCATGTTTACAGTTAACTGTAACGGGAAATTTTCTAAACATTAAACTGCATACATGTCATAGGAATATCACTCTCAGGTGATCATCTCCAGCATTAGTATCGCATAAGTTTTGGATTGTTTATTGTGTGCCGGATAGGCTATTAAAGTAATCACCACTCATCACTGCACATTTGAAATGATTTCTAAATAATTACTATTCTATTTTTTAAGGGGTACACAAATTACTAGTCAAACAAAAATCAAAGAAATTTGCCGCTTTAAGAAAACAGCAGCGCCTGTGCAGTTGTTTAATAGAATCATAAGGACATGGAAAATCTAGGGCCACCTGCACACAATTGTGTTGATCCGTACAGGAGTTTTTGAGATATTTGTTAAAGTGTGAGGGCAGGCACCAGTGATGAAATGCATTGTGGTATCAAAACTGTTTGTTGGTGAATCTGGGAGCCAAGCACAAGTTGTACAACCCTGGCTAGATTCATCAGGGCAGAAGGCAAGCTTTGTTAATCACTTCATATACTGCTGCTCACAGCCGACTCCTCCCTTTTGTTTTATTGTGTGAAATCATTTCAATATCATGGATGGAATCTGCTCCAGGTCCTTTGTCCTCTGTCATCAATGTTCCCTATAACATTCCTCTTGGATGTCCTGGCGTCTGTCATCAATGTTCCCTATACCATTCCTCTTGGATGTCCTGGCCTCTTCATTTCCCATTTCAGTGGCCCATTTTTTGTTTTCAATTTCTCCTTAGGATTTCCCCCCAGTATATATCCATCTTTTTTTTCTTTTTCAACTACTGACATTAGCAGATGTCCAGATGTTTCTTTGTTTTTAGATTAACCCTTTTGCCCAGGTGACCTAGAGAAAAAGAAAGCCAATCTCCCATACTTTCCATTTTTCTGATATTCCCCAAAAATCCTTAGAAAAAAATGATAGTTTACACACATCACCGGAAAAAACAAAAGACATAAAATCAACCTATCACCCAAAAGAGGAACAAATTTACAGAGAGTAGGGGGAGTAACCAATAAAAACGATTGCAGCATACAATCAACTGGCTTACATTTCTTGGCACATGTAAACTAATTTTAGATTGACACTTCCTTGCCTTTTATGACCCGGTCGCTCCCTAAACACTGAAGCCAAAAGGAGAATTGTGACTTAGAAATGTATACAAATAAAGCCATTTTCTCAAAAATGAAACCCACCTAAGTGCAAATGTTAATGCATTTTGTCATCCGCTGTCATGCTGAACGTGTGTGCACTGTACATGCAATGAGGTCTGTTAGCTAGACTCGTAAAGATGTCTCTTCAGCGAATCAGGAAAGCAGTTTTTATGAGGAACTAGGATCAAACTGAACGTGTAGGTTTTTTGGCTGCTCGGGGCAAAAAAAGTTAACAGTTCCGAGATCATGTGTCCTGGAATGGGTATATTCCAAGACAAGCAAATGCAATACAGATGTCAAAAGGAACAGAAGTGGTCATCTCCCCCCTCACAATGTTGTGACCCAACATTCATGGAAACTTTAGCGTATATAGGGTCAAGAATGTGGTCTGCCTTGTCTGACCAGTTTGCGCACGACAGTATAGGTGAGTTTTTTAACACTTCTTCCAAACAGAGCAGACCACGCTGCTTACACACTGGACATCTGCATAATCAACAAACATGCATATATCCCATAGTTATGAGCCAAACAGCTCACTGCCAGCATCTTCATGCTGAAAAGACCTCAGAACATGTCTTACAAGACTGTCCTCTGCAGGAGGAGCTGCAAAGCAACATGTGGCCACACCCAGTCAACCTGACAACTAAGTTTGGGGAAGACCTAAGAGACCTTGAGATGACATCCTTGTTTATGGCGCATAGAAGATTAAGCCCATGACCAGAGATTGCTGAAGAAGATCACTTCCTGCTGTGCTACCATGTAGTGTCATTACTACTAATGCTAGCAGACCCTGCACATGAACCTCATGTCTCCAATACTAACTCCTCATTTGAAATCATACAGTTCACATACTAACAATCCCTTTCTTTATGCTTGCAACAGTGACCAGTATTTGACAGAGAAATGATGTAGGAGATCACATGCTAGGGAGAAGCGTGATCAACCAAGCCAATCAGCAAGGCACTGGACAATGATGATGATTTGACCAGAGTATTTCTCAGCTCACAGTGTGGTTCTCTACTACAGATGTATCTCTGTCGCTTTCATTCACTCCCATGTCTGAGTTCCTATGCTCATTATCCTGACTGTCTTAACTCTCTCCTGTCTGTCATTCTATTAACTCCTTTTCTAAGTAATCCACGCCATGTCAGTTACTAGTCTGACAACCTCCACAGCTTTCTTCATTTCTTGTCTTCATCGCTTGAACTCAATCGTTCACTTTTAATCATGAAATACTGGGTCAGGTCCAGATTCTTTGGTTTTGCTAACTTTACTCTGAAAAATGTCTTCTTCAGTTTCTGAAAAACAGAAGAAACAAACAATTTACATCATCAGTCTGTCCAACTGATACGAGAAGACAGGTTTTTTTTCCATGACAGCATTCAACAGTACGTAGTAATACCGGCACATTTTAAAAGGCATTTTATTTATGGAGCACTGTTGTGATAGAGCCTCTATGGTCTAGCTAGGGCTAGATGCTAGACTGCGGATCAGAAGGTCGTAGGTTCGGTTCCTGGCGAGGGCCGGACCTTTTTCAAGAATGACCTCGACCCCAAGGTCTACCCAGCCTTGAGTGGGTACTAGGTACAGTCATAGGAAGTAAAAGAGGCCGGCGTGATGCTGACCACATCACCCACCAAGTGCCGTTTGGTCTATAAAATATAGGTGCCCGGCTCGCTAGCGTAGTTGGCTACACCTGACTTCGCGACGACTGGGTAACGAACTCCTTGTGGTCCGGGTTCATGCCTGGAGCCTAGGCAGAAAAGCCACATCTCTCCCAGATTTACGGTATCTATCATGGAATCAAGACCGAACGGTTGCGATATCCATAGCACCGAGCCAAAGGATTAACTATTTGAGTCCCAGGGGGTTTAGCATCACAGGCCCAAGGGGTAGTCAAGAGAGATGTAAAATCAGCGCATCATGCATTCATTGGGCCTCTAGGTAGGAATCCATGAACATAGGATGCGTTCCTTGGGTGTCAAAGAGTTAAGAACTCATGGTTCCTAGATATTTAAAAAAAAAAAAGCCTAGCCCTATATACCCAACAAGCCTGAAAAGCCTGGAAAAGGGTCCTTTAATTTACTATTGTAATAGATATTTTGTGGTGAGCACCGGCACCTTTCTTTCCAGCAAAAAAGCCCTAGTAAAAGTTATTTTAATTAATGGAGTTATTAGAGTTATCAAGGCAGGTTACTGCTGTGGCACAGTTGTTAGTGTTATTGACTGCCTTCATAACGATCTGGGTTCAAACCCAATAGAGGCAGGATCCTTTTTTGCTCTGACAGCCCTGCCACAGGGGTACGTGAGAGGCTGAGGTAGTGTATGTATGCTTGCATACAGGGGTATGTGACAGTTTGAGGTAATGTATGTATGCTTGCCTACAGGGGTATGTGACAGGCTGAGGTAATGTATGTATGCTTGCAAAAGGGGTATGTGACAGTTTGAGGTAATGTATGTATCCTTGCCTACAGGGGTATGTGACAGGTGGAGGTAGTGTAAGTATGCTTGCCTACAGGGGTATGTGACAGGTGGAGGTAGTGTAAGTATGCTTGCCTACAGGGGTATGTGACAGTTTGAGGTAGTGTATGTAGCCTTGCCTACATGGGTATGTGATAGGTTGATGTAGTGTATATATACTTGCCTACAGGGGTATGTGACAGTTTGAAGTAGTGTAAGTATGCTTGCCTACAGGGGTATGTGACAGGTGGAGGTAATATATGTATGCTTGCAAAAGGGGTATGTGACAGTTTGAGGTAATTAATTAGTCGACTCTTACTACATGATTTTGGGGAGGCAGTGGGTCTATACTTGTTTTCCCCACAATGGGGTCCCGGAACCCACATGGGGGAGCAAGTATTTAATGTGCTTCTCAGATGCTCAGCACTGAAACTATCTGTAATCTTCTTCTTAAAGTTCACCAGCTGTACACTCTGGCGGAAAGTTCTGGTTGTTCGTCCACTTCTGAACTGCAGTCCTGCTCCAGAACCTGAGTGTTGCGTGTGCATCAGTTTTACAGATCTGATTCACTTGAGTGCAGACTGTTGGTTCCTTGCCTCCCAGGCAGATGCAATCCGACTTCAAAGACAGCTCCCCAATCAGTCGACTCTTATGACATGCTTTTTGGAAGGCAGTGGGCCGATTCTTGTTTCCCCACAATGGGGCCCCGGAACCCACATGGGGAACTATCGGTAATAATTTTATCTTTTATCTCTATTTCCTTTCCCGAGTTCCCCACCTCCATGCAACAACACCCATGGCATCCTGTTCCCACAAATCTACTTCAATATCTGTATCATTCATGGCCTGCTTGCACATATCTTTATATTGTAGCAGAGGTTGACCTCGACATCTTCTATCTATAACTCACCGTAGCGTAGAGCATGTCTTTAGGGACTCTACCATTCGCCATCTTCCAAGGACAGCTTTTTGGTCCCTTGCCAATTCCCCTGCCTCTCAGTTATTTTCATACCCAAAGGCAGCTTCAATATTCCATGGCCACCTTCATGTTGGTCAATCCTTCTAGCTTGCTCCAAAAATCATGCCTTCCATTACTGTTCTTTCTAAACCACTTCAGCACTTAACAAGACTGAACTATTTCAGTTTCCAAAACACAATGCCGCTTTTAAGCCAGTCCTCTTTTTTCCAAGGTATTTTAAACTACAATACAATGACTCCTCTTTTCCTGTGTGGGTTCCTGGCTACAATTTTGGAGAGCAAAAAAAAAAAAAATAGATCCAATAACTCTTAACAAAAATGCTGTAAAAGGTGATGACATTTTTGAAAAAATATTTTTTGCTGAAATTCTTCCTTTTCTTCACGTTCACTGGCTGTAAATTCGAGCGGAAAGTTCTGGTTGTTCTCTGGACTTTGTTCTGTTGGTTCCTTGCTGCTCGGGCAAATGCACTCTGACTTTGAAGGAAAACCCCAATTAGTCGACTCTTACGACATGCTTGTTCTCCCCACAATGCGGCCCTGGAACCGTCATGGGGATTTGCTGAAATTAAATATTAAAAGGCACAGATATCTCAGCTTAGCTGTAAACACCACACCACACCAACCGCTCTTCTAAGGGCAATCATAGAAGAAGAAGCAGATCCCTTGAGATGTTATTTTACAGAAGTAAATGTCATCTAACTGCTTGGAAAGAAGCTAACACAAAAAGACGATTCAACACAAATGTCGGATAAATTACAAAAATCAATAACAAAACACAATTCAACACAAAGGCTTCAGCTTTTTAAAAGTACAGGACTAAAAGTGGTTACCTTTTTCTTGACAACAAGTGTCTTCCACACATCCTCTTCAATCAGCTTGGACACATCTAAAACATTCCTACTTCTTGAAGAGCTAGAACGGGCTACACTAAAAACAGCCTCACATCCACTGGAAAAGAAACAAAACAAAGAATTATATATATATATCTGGGTTGACCCAGCCTTAAATGGGTACCAGATCAAATCCTGGGAAGTAAATGCGGCCTGTATGATGTTGACCACATCACACACTGAGTGCCAACTGGTCTATAAAATCTAGGTCTAGCCCTATATGCCTAATTTGCCTGAAGGCATGAAAAATAGTTCTTAACATATCTTCTCATGTGGAAGACCCAGGTTCAAATACTTGGTACGATAATGCATTTTCTGTTTGGGAGCAAAAATACAATCCTAACCTGCATAGTCGTGGTGAGAGCACTAGCTATGCAGCCTTGAATCCTCGGGTTCAACCCCCCACCCACCATGACATACATTAATGCCTTCTATCCCCCAATGGAGCATAGGCCCTCAACCAACAGACTCCAAGTCGTTCTATCCTTTGCTATTGCATGCAGTTCTCCCCATGTCCTCCCAATCTTTTTCAACTTCAAGTTCTAACTCCCTTGTGTTTTTTATTTTTTTTATTATATTTATTTCTATGCCCCTGTGGGTTCCAGTGCAAAGATTAAAAATGTTTAATTCTAATGTGAAACCAGTACTGTTGTATGGAGCAGAAATATGAACAGCTAAGGCAGTTAAATAAACTGCACACATTTATTCACTAGTGCTTCCACAGAATAGAGGGAATTAAGTGGTATGATCAAATCAATAAAGTTGAGCTCTGGAAAAGAACTAAACAAGTTCCAGTGGACCAACAGGTGAAGAAAAGATGCTGGTAATGGATATGATACACTCTGAGAAAACATGAGAAAAATATAAGTAGAATGTCTTTGCACTAGAACCCACAGGGGCATAGAAATAAAGAAAGACAAAAAAATACATAGAGATGAGAGCTAGAGAGAAAAGTTAAAATAGACAGGGAGGACATGGGGAGAGTTGCATGCAAAAGCAAACTTGGCGTGAGTTGGTTAAGGGCCTATGCTCCATTGGGGATTAGCAAGATAGAAGAAGAAGAATGTTTAAGTGGTGGTTACAAAATAACCTGATGCCCTATAGCTCGAGTGACGCTAACATCTTTTTCTTTGTGATAAACAGACAGACAAGTGAAGAAGGAACAAGAGCAAATTTACTTTCTTCCAGCAGCAGGTCGGAGTTCAAAGTTCACATCATCTTCTGGCTCCTGGTCATAATAGTAGTCAATTATCAGGAGTGATCCCCCTTTTTTCACTTTTGGTACCAGACCTATGCAGAAGAAAGAAAACATTTTACATTTTCACCTAGGCCAGTGGTTTCAAATCCTTTTCGAGTCGCAACCTCATTCCATAAAGGCAAAGTGACCCCATGCTCCGTTAAATTGAAAACAGGCTTTTTAACAGGTTAAATACAACACAGTGAAAACAGATTTTCTGTGCAGGATGCGACGACTTGTTGGCTTTCTATTTTTAAAATTTGCATTACTCACTGTCATCTGGTGACCCCACAGAAAACCTTTTGTGAGCCATTTGGGGTCGCAACCTAACAGTGGAAACCTGTGTCCTAGGCAATCAGACATTTTCATTAATTTTAACTCTCTGAGTACTAGGGAGTGATTTTAACCATTTCTAACTCAGAGTTCATGTTTTTAGAGCAGCAATCACTAAACTAAACTAGTAAAAATATGAAAAAGATAATTTGAAGTAGAAACTGCTGCAGAGAGGATGAATTCAACAAAAGAACTGAATGGACAAACGAACAAACTTCATTTTTCAAAGGGTCAGAATTCAGCACGAGGACCCGTCTTACATTCAGCCCTTTCAAACACCCATTTTTCATAACAGCTGGCATATTTTATAATTAAAGCATGTTATGTTCATATAATATTATGCATATTATGAATTCAGAAAAAACACACAAAATCATGGGTGGTAAAATGCAGGAGCACACTTGTGTGTGTGCACAAGCACATACACCCACATACACACACCCACCCACTCACTCACACATATAACACACACATGCACGCACGCATGCACGCACATACATACATACATACATGCACGCACACACACACATACATACATACATGCATGCACACACACACACACACACACACACACAGCATCTACACATGTTTGTTGGGAAGGCAGCGAGTCCAGTCTTATCTTCCACACAACGAGCTGTAAACAAAACCAGAAGAGACTGTGCCAGAAATGAAGAGACTGGAAGAATAATTCATGGAACATTACCCAGTGTTAAATTAACTGTGAAACAAAGACTGAAATAGTTCACCCATCTAGTGGGAATGATTCCAGCCAAGCTGTCAGTAAAGACATACAACATGATAAAATAAAGTGAGAGGGAAAGCTAGAAGAAGATGGATCAAAGGAGTTACTGACAGACTGAGACTTCACAAAATTACATCACACCAAACAACCTGGCTCGACTACCTATTATATGTCAAAACGCAATGCCTAGCAACACAAAGCAGACAGTACAGTGACAAAAGAAACAGAATCAAGTAACACTCCGACACAAAAGAGAATAACTAAATTCCTCAGTTGAATAGATGACACCTCACCTGTTACAGGGTCTGGCTTCTGCCCCCCTTGATCTTGCCGTGAGACACCTACAAATATTTATTACAAGATTAGATAGGGAGCTGCCACTTGACATAAACAGATTAGCATGGGGCTCCCAGAGCAAGTTTTCAGCGGGCCTATGCATTGAGACAGCACTGCTTGTATCTATGGAAAGCTCAAAGAACCACCAGAGCACATGCTACAACTAGCTATCATTCTAGCTATTATTACTGCATTCAAATCCCTGCAGAATCTTTAGGGCCATTTCCTGTCTATGGAAGAAAAGTCACTTGCCAAAGCAGTTATCTCACTGCGAACAGGTTCAGATTTGTATCTCCTGTGTGGGTTCCGTAGCCTCATTGTAAGTTTTTAAAAAAAAGAACTCACTTTCCCTTAATAAGCATGTCATAATAGGCAGCCAATTAAAGGTTTAATGAAAACAGATGTGTTGTGTACCAACTGCTGTAAAAGGGGGGACAACAGGAGAAGAAGATTTGTATCTCACCTGCAGTGGATACAAACCCTGTGTAATGGGGGATATTTTCATCCTGATTGGTAAGGTTGGGGGGGGGGGGGGAAGCTCTAGGTTAACCCAAACACAGAGAGAAGCCAGATACTCGGATTAACCAAGGTTTTCAAGGTAGGGGACGACTACGTGTTATCAAATGGAACCCAAGGAGAACGACCACAGGTCGCCACGTGGAACCCAAGAACAACCTTGTGTTGCCACGTGGAACGAATACCGGGTATAAGTTCAGACCCCAGTGTGATCAGACAGTATGTGTTGACCATCAGAACCAGAGGACGTGAGAGTGATCGAGTGAATGAACGTGAAACTGATTGCTGCTTGATGAAGACCAGACGACAACATCCATCGAAGTAAAGACCAGCCAAGTCAGTGGTGTGAAACTCGATGCAATGACCAGATCCACCTGTGCGGCGTTGTGGAACTGAAGACGCAGAACTCTGGTTGGTGAATGTGTGATGAGTCAGCGTGTTGGTGTCTGAACGATGTGTCGCGTGAAAGCTGTTGATTAGGACATGGACGGGACAATACATGTAAGTGTTTAGATGTCAATAAACAGTCTTGTATCTTGGAGACGGTGTCGACTTGTCACAGCTATGTTATCTTGGATTGTGAGTAATATCATCCAGCAGACACATCTTCTCCTAGACAACTAGCCAAATGTCAGAACACGACATAGTACGAGTGAAGCATGACTTATTGCACCCTGAGTCTAGCTGATGATCTAGTCTCACTATTTAAATATATATAAATATATTTCCAAACCAGCGTTACCACAACATCTCCAAGACAATAAATATTTAGGTCCAAGGTTAGGTTAGGTTGAAACAAGGAATGAACTAACATCATGGCACAAGGGTAGTAACCCATAAGTGCTCCGTTCTACTTCTAACTCAAGCCTGAGTCTAAAGAATATCAGCACGTTGCACAAACCCCGTAGCACCGGCGAGGATCCTGTAAATACCTTGACAGATTTTTAACTATAAATTTTGCCCGGATAGCACCGTTAGGCTACTCTTTTTAAATTTCCAACTGCCAAAGGATTTTGTATGTGCGCAATAATGTACATGGGCATCCAATCTTACTACAAAGAGACCAGTGGAAGTTATTAGAAGTCCACGTGAAAATTCCCAGCTTTCACTGGGGTTTCAACCCGGAACCTCCAGCACTTAAGGCGTTCGCTATGCCCCGAGACCACTCAGCCCCCCAGATAATAAATATTACAATAAATAAGGAATCACCTGAAGCAGAAGCTGGATCCCCAGTGGCAGACATCCTCTAGCCAGGCTAGGAGAAGCTCCGGCTCCAGGTTGTCTTCTGATTAAGCAGACTTTAAATTCTGGTAGTAACCAAAAGCTCAAATGTTAAACAACATGATGACATCAACAGCATAATTTTAATTTCAAGTTTAAAAAAAATATTAAGTGTAAAAGGCATGAATTATGATTGAATCAATAACATAGTACTTCTGATAAATCCATAAGTGATCAGACAATCCCGTCAGAAAAAAAGGATAAGGATTTTGCTTGTGCGCATGGTGCAAAACTGTGAGCTGTGAATATTATTTGAAATGCTTTTCAAATGTGCCCAGGATGGTTTGTGTTGAGAACTGTAGATTCAGAAAATGGACAGTGGCATACTGTCACAGAACTTATGTTGCCTTATATGATAAGTTGTGGGTACAACTACTGTTCTGTTGTAGCTGCTGCTTCAATCAACAATGAACTGCATTTCCGGTACCAGAATGTGTTGGCATTTCTGCCAGCTGTCTTATGCATTTAAAGTGTGTGTATGCTACTGACTTTGTCGAGACTGCAATATGTGTCAATTTTTCACAAAGGATATCTATGCGTATTCTGTGTGGTTTTCGTTGGCAAGGGATTGGGACATCTATGGGATAACCCAGTTGCTATGAAGTCAGAACTGCGATTGCCTGTTTGTGAGCATGTTAACTTTTTCGGTCCCTGGTAATTTAAAAAAGATGCTCCTGAAAAAATAAATTGGATTTTTTTTTTTTATCACATAAAATGGCTCAATGTTAATGTAGCAAGCTAGCTCTAATGTCAGATCAGTACTGCTGTAAAGAGTAGAAGCTTGGAGACCAACTAAAATCATCATCATCGTCATGATCATAAACCACTTCTGCAGTTAAGCGTCGTGGGGAGGAATAGTTTGCGATTCAGTGCATGTTGGCTGCCACTGGCTATTGTCTTGCCCTGAAATTGTAGAGTGCCTTAAATGTTGTCGATCCATTATTTCCGCGGCCGTCCTATTGCTCTTGTAGCTGATCTTCTGAGATGTAGTGCTTGTGATGGTATTTGATCTTGCTCATTTCTAAAATAATTACTAATAAATTTGCAACATTCATTAACTGGTGTCTGCACATAATAGGTTAGGTTAGTTGCGAATCCTTTACAGGACATTGCAGAACCAACCCCAACAGCCCCTGGCTGTTGTGTGGTTTTTCTAGGCAAATTTATGTCCAGTAGTTTGCCATTGCTTTCTGGACGGTCGACTTTCTCGATACCACTGTCGAAACCAATGCAAGGCGCGTGGCCTGCAGCTGAAATCGAACCCGGCATTACAAAGCGTTCACATCGACTTAGCCACAGAGCCGACACATAATAGAGTAGTATTTAATAATATGACAGAATCACTTATGTTGAGCTTTGGGAGATAATTTAACACATTCCAATGAATCAAGAGGTGAAGAAAATATGTTGGTGTGGATAGGTCACACAATGAACAGAACAAATTTTAGAACAATATGACGAGAATGAGAATGTGCTTAAAATTCCAGCTTGGGGGGGGGGGGGGGGGGGGGGAGCTTCAAAGATGACATGGGCATTTCCTTAAACGTTATCTTATCCTCTTATTATCTTGAGTAATTTCTCCTACATCCAAACGCATGTCGACTATTGTTGCACAGTCTGGTATGATTGCGCCAAATCTAATGTTAAAAGACAAAGGTTCCTTCAAACCAATAAAAATCCTCTCTATAGCCATCTAAGACTTCTGCCATTTAGTAAACGTTTAATTTTTAATTAAGAAGGCCAAATTTAATCACAAAATTTTATCTCAAAATACTCTAAACTACATGTACTAGTTAAATAAATCCAATTCTACGAACAGCAAGCGACTTTATCACATTTACCTAAACCTAGAATATATTTATATAAAACAAGTTTAGCATTCTCTGCAGCCCATTTATGAAACTATCTTCCACTTGATCTGAAAATTACAAAGAGTTCCTATTCACTTAACAGCAAACTTTTTCTGTTCATGATTTAAACGGATTATATGCCACCTTAAATGTAATAATCAAAACTGCAATATCAATTTATAATTAGATTAGGTATGTATGAAATGTATTTATGCATGTATGAATGGTATGTATATATGCTATATATATGTATGTGTGTGCATGGGTAATTATGTACCTTTGGGTGTTTGTGTATGTATGGTTGTTTTTGTATGTGTAGGTGTTTGTGTATGTATGGTTGTTTTTGTATGTGTAGGTGTTTGTGTATGTATGGTTGTTTTTGTATGTGTAGGTGTTTGTGTATGTATGGTTGTTTTTGTATGTGTAGGTGTTTGTGTATGTATGGTTGAGTTTTGTATGTGTAGGTATTTGTGTATGTAGTGGTTGTTTTTATGTGTAGGTGTTTGTGTATGTATGTGTGTTTTAGTATGTGTAGGTCAGTTTTGTGTATTATGGTTGTTTTTGTATGAGTAAGGTGTTTGTGTGTGAATGAGTTGTTTTTGAGAATGGCTGTAGGGTGTTTGTGTAGTAAGGTTGATTTTGAGTGTAGAAACGATGTGTATGTATGGTTGTTTTTGTATGTGTAAACCATACCCATATGTATGGTTGTTTTTGTATGTGTAGAAGCAAAGAATGTATGGTTTGGTATGTAATGAGTGTTTGTGTATGTACGGTGTTTTTGTATGTGTAGAGTTTGTGTATGTATGGTTGTTTTTGTATGTGTAGGTGTTTGTGTATGTATGGTTGTTTTTGTATGGGTAGGTGTTTTGTGTAGTATGGTGGATTTTTGTATGGCAGTGTTTGGTATGTATGGTTGTTTTCATAACATCACGTGTATGTATGGTTGTTTCTGTATGTGTAGGTGTTTGTGTATGTATGGATATATTTGATAATGTATGTATGAGCGAGAGTGCATGTATGTATATCTTTGAGTGTATATTTATGAGTGTGTGTATGTGTATTGGCATGTGTGTGTGTGTCTGTCTGTGTGTCTGGCTGTGTGTGTAACTGTTTGTGTGTGTGTGTTTTGTGTTTGTATGTGTGTGTCTGTATGCATGAATGTATGTATATATGCGTGTGTGTCTGTGTGTTTATGTCTGTGTTGGTGTGTACATGTGTGCGTCTATGCATCTTTGCCTTATGTATGTATATCTGTGTGTATGTCTATGTGTATCTGTGTGTATGTGCTATCTGTGTATGTGTGTGTGTGTCTGTCTGTATGTGTACATTTGTGAGTGTGTGTCTATGTATGTCAGTGTGTGTGGAAAGGCCTGTGCGTGTGTATGTCTGTGTGAGTCGGTATACTTGTCTCTGTGTGTGTATGTCTGTGAGTGCATCTGTGTGTGTGTGTGTGTCTGTGCATGTACCTCTGTGTATATGTGTGTCTGTGCATATGTCGGTGTGTCTGTATGTGTATTTCTAAGTGTGCATGTCTACCTGTGTGTCTATGTGTGTATGTCAGCGTGTCTGTGTGTGTGTCAGCATGTGTGAATGTCTGCCTGTTATGTATCCATGTTTCTGCTCATGTGTCTGTGTGTGTACGTATGTATGTGTGTGTGTCTATGTGTACATGTGTGTGTCCCAGCATCTTTTCCTCATGTATGTGGGTGTATCTGTGTGTATGTCTATGTGTGTGTCCATATAAGTCTTTGTGTGTGTCTGTCTGTATGCGTGTGTACATTTGTAAGTGTGTGTCTGAGTATGTTGGTGTGTGTGTATGTATGTGCGGGCCTGTGCATGTGTATTTATGTGTATGTCTGTGTGTGGGTCTGTATATATGTCTCTGTGTGTGTATGTCTATGAGTGGGTCTGTATGTGTGTCTGTGTGTGCACGTCTGTGTATGTGTGTGTCTGTTTGTGTATGTCTGTGTACATCTGTGTTGTGTGTATGTCGGTGTGTCTGTATATGTGTTTGTGTGTTTCTATGTGTGTCTTGCTGTGTGTGTGTGGGTCAGGGTTTCTGTGTGTGTCAGCGTGTGTATGTCTACCTGTTTGTCTCCATGTGTGTGTGCGTCTGCGCATGTGTCTGTGTGTGTGTGGCATGGATGTATGTGTGCACGTATGTATGAGTGTATGTGCGTTTGTATGTGTGTATGAGTGTGTATGTGTGTGTATACAGGTAGGTATTCTATATGTATGTGGGCAGGTATGTATGTTAATGAATGAGTAAGTAGGGTGGGTGTACGCATGAATTTTACTACCCATGCTTTTGTGGGTTTCTTTTACTGATATTCATAAAATGCAAATTGTTACATGATCATAGGTGAAAGGTGGGCTCTACTGGCAAATCCGGACGAAAAATAAACAGCCTTGGACGACTTAGTCAGAGTTCTCTCCCTTGGCCACACTGCGAACAGTGATCGGAAAAGCCAACGAAACAAAGAAGACAGTCACGTCGACATCAGGGCTGCCAATGCTTGGTTGTTTCCCCCAGATCTGGTTTTTTTTCGACGCTGCAGGACAATTCTGGTTTTTTTTTGTTGGTGTGTTGTGTTTGTTGGTTTTTGCCAATTTGTATGCTTTAATGATCGATAAATTTGCGTGGTTAGGGGTAGGGGTTAGAGCTAGGGAGTAGGATTAGGATTAGGGTTAGCGGTAGGGTTAGGTTTAGCGTTAGATTTGACAATTTTGACGCCGGAGTTCCCTATAATCGCGCACAGTCCCATACACACACAAACAATCTAGGGCCTCTGGATGCTGGTCAAACGCACATTTCGCCAACGATTGGGGGCAAAAGCCGCACGCTATTGGCGTCATATTTAGCAGAGTTTCAGTGGCGCCACTCCCACAAACATCAGATTGTCGGCCAGTATTTCGAAATCATACGTCAAAATTTTCACATCTAACCCTAACCCTAACCCTAACTCTAACCCTACCCCTAACTCTAATCCAACAACCGCATGATGATGACTACACAACCATTCACAATGCCTCACGCAACCGTACGCAGCCCTACACGCAACCGCAGGATGATAGGTAAGTGTGTCGTTTGTTTCGTTTGTTTTCCGATCAC